AATATAATTAGTATTCATCTGGTGAAGGGAATTTAATTTATACATTTTTAATAACAAAGATAAACTATTTTTGATTAGTTTATACAATTATTAATCTTGAAATGAGTGATGAATTATCATTCACATACTAGTCTTCCCATGATCTCATCTTTCTTAAGAGACAAGGGATAACAATTTTCAAACTTTTAGAAGATAATAGGGACAGATTAGTCACTTCATGAGAATTCAGAACCTTTAATCCGTATATTATTTATAATATTGAAACATTTTCTTGATTATCCAGATATTTCTTCTTTCGTCCTCCTTTTTTTAATTATTATATTTTCTCTTTCATTTTCTTTTGACTCAAATGATAGCCCTAAGTGAGACATATACAAACCATAAAGAAACAAAAATTACATGTGCAAAATGAGTTTGAACCTAAAGTATTTGATCACAATTGATGTTGCAGGATTCAAAGTTGTCTATTTTCTTGCTTTGCTATGCACCAAATTAAGAAGAAGAACAAGAAAAGTTCAATTTTTCTCTTTCCTTCTACATTTCAACCTTAGATCAGCAACCAAACGAAGGAAAAGAGGCAGCACTCCACGCACTCAAAGTAATGTGATTAATCAATTTTGAGATAAGAGTCTTTGCAAATTACACGTTGTGAAGGATCAAGACTTTTCAGCATTTGGAGTTGGACTTGGATAGTTGTAATACTTGAACCTTTTGATAAATTGGTCAAAAAAAAAAACTATTGATAAAATAAATGTAATAATATAAAAAATTATTCTTAAATTATAATAAAATATTTAAAATAATATCTAAATTTTTAAAATTTTTATTATGATATTTAAATTATAGATTTATTAATTAATTTAATATTTAAAAATTATTTATCTATCACGTATTATAATTTGAAATTATTTACATTAGTAAAAGTATCAAATTAATTAAAAAATTATATTTCAGATTTAATATTAAAAAATTAAGTCTCATTTTTTTGTGTGGAGAAATAAAAAACTGAAGCAATATTATTCAATATTTGGACCTAACTCATCTTAATTTCTCTTAATGTATTTCTAACTAACGTACTCACTCAATGGTTGATATTAAGAAGTTGAAAATTCCAAAGGAAGGGCTCCATCCTTCTTTTATGCCGAATTATAAATAGGATTAAACTTTACTTGGATTAAACAAATAAAGATTAAATTATAATAAAATATTTAATTTGATATTTAAATTTTAAAATTTTTGTTATAATATTTAAATTATAAATTTATTAATTAATATAATATTTAAAAAATTATTTATTTATCACATATCATCATTTAAAATTATTTATATTAGAGAGAATCTCATATTAATTAAAAATTTTATATTTTAAATACAATATTAGAAAATTAAGTCCCATTTTTTTGTGTGGAGCGGAAAAATATTGAAGCAATATCATTAATATGTGAACCTAACTCATCTTAATTTCTTGTCACATCGTTCTAAGTAACGTACTCACTCAATGCTTGATATTAAAAAGTTGAAAATTCCAAAGGGCGGGCTCCATCCTTTGCTTACGCAAAGTTATAAACAGGATTAAACATGGGTTGGATTAAACAAATCAATATTTTATTTTACTTTTTTATTTTAAATGAATGTATCATAATAGTTAATCCAATAGTAAATACGTTATTATTATTATTTTTTCCAATGGAAACACATGATCCTTTTCAACGTACTCTTTAAATTAATAATGGATTTAAACTGAACAATGGCCCGTCAGTTGGAGCCTTTTGTTAACAAAACTATAGACTACAGATTTATGTTCGATGTGAAATATTTAAAAGAATAATAACTGTAATTAAAATATTTTATACTTTGTCTTTTTCGCATCCAACCAAAATGATGACTCCAACATTTTAGTTGTTTCTTACTCCTCACCGGTCTAATAATCTTGTCTGTATAACTAAATTATAGTTTGAACTTTTATCTTGATGATTAGATTTATTGCTTTTATTCATGGAACTCATGTTGAAAAGACTCGTTCATATACATATATATATATATATATAATTATCAATAAAAATTTTAATTTTATAAATAAAAGTAAAAAATTGATACATATTTTATTTTTAATTATTTTTTATTTTTCTAATATGCTCCATAGGATGCGTATTATTATGCTAATTTTTATTTTCCAATAAAAAAGTTTTTTATAATATATTTGATGTTTTTTTTATATATATAAATTAATATTTAATATACTGTTAATATAAATTTTAAATTTCACAAGCAGTATTAAGATATTGACATATGTCTCATTTTTATTTTAATTAATTTTTTAAACTTTTTAAATATATCTTAAGAATATGTGTCATTATCTTAACTTTATTTGTAAAATTTAAAAATTTTATTATCAGTCTATTTAATAATATATATTTATGATGAAATTTGAATTAATATTTATTAATTATTATTTTTTTTAAAAAATTGTATGAATTAATTAAATTAAATTTTATGTTCAAAATTAAATTAATCTTACCTTAATATAAGTAGATTCCAGCTAAACATATAATCATTCATAATACTCAAAATCTCCAAATTTATATTGCTCATGCTCATCGCCTCAAATTAATAATGAGCAAATTTGTTGTTTACTACTACTAGTAGTTTTAGAAACTTAATTGGAGGCAGAAAATGCGTCAATAATCATGATTTATGCACTGAATCAGAAAAACGGCAGGTGAATCAAATTAAAATCGTTAATGACAGCCTGCCATACATTTAAAGCAAATAAGGAATGCAGTTACAAATCTGAATGAATAATTGCCATATATTTAAGCAAATAAGAAATGCAGTTACAAATCTGAATAAATAATTTTCTTTCTTTTATTGTTTTTCAGTTTGCATTTGAGCTTATCCACTATTTGGTTTTTCTCATTTCTGGCTGGCAGCCTTGCCGCTAATATTTGCACTTTTTTGGTGATTTTGGTGTTTTGCCAAGGAGGCGTGAGACTTTGAGGCTTTGATTGTCGGTTCTGCCTTGGGGAAATGCAATTCGGGAGAATCTCTGCAGTAAATAAATTTTACGGACATTAGCATTGCACGTTTAATTGGTGCAATTATTAGGAGCCTTTTTTTTTTTCTTCTTTTTCAATTGAAAGAAAAATTGGATAAATTTCCACCACAACTTTGGACCGCTTCACCCTCAATTTCAAGCCAGTAACATCAATTGGACAAATTTCCACAATTTCGTTTGAAAGAGAAACAGACACGGAAAAGGTGGCTTAATTTCACTGCTTCAAGTGATCCCACCAATTTTCTTTATTGATATTGACAAAGTAATCGAAAAAAAAACTTAAAACAGAGTGCAGAGTATGTTGATAAATTTTTTTATGAGTGTACAAATTAAATTTTTGAATGATTATTAATTTATACTAAACTATGTTAAAAATCAAAGAAAATTAAACTCTATTTATAAAGGGTTGGTAGAAACACCACTAAACTATTTTTGAAAAGAGATTCATGCTTTAAATTAATGGATAAGTATATATGTGTTAAATGTACTCAATTATATTTGATACATAAAATGATAGATAAAATAAAATAATAATATTTATATATCATATTTGATTTGTATTTAAAAAAATAATAAAATTATAATAATGATTAATTTTTTTTAGTATAAGATAATTCAATTCTTCAAAAATGAAAAGTTTATTTTTAATTTATAAAATTAAATTTATGGATGTGTTTAGTACATAAAATTATGATAGAATATGATAAGATGATATTATGATTAATATTAAATTAAATAATATTATATAATATTATATTTGATGTATGTAAATATTATAATAAAATAATTTATTTAGTGATCTAAATTATCGTTTTTTAAAATATATATAATTTAAATTATTAATATAATTTTTAAAAATATAATAAGATATGTAAGTTCAGTCCAATGGATTATAAATAATCTTCTTCCTTTGGACTGATTAAATCATCCTATCTCTTTTTTTACATACAAATTAAAGATAATACAATATGATTATTATTTTATCTTATTTATCATCCTATGCATCAAATATAACTTACATGTCTTTTCTATCTTTAAAAATTAAATTATATAAACTTTAAAAAATAATAATTTTGATAAATAAAATTATTATATTTTAATACTTACATATATCAAACACAAAATAAAATGATATTATTTAATTTAATCCTATTTATAATACTATCTTTTCATAATCTTATTTAACAAATACAATCTCAATGCATTAAAAGCAAGATTAATTACTTCCTCTTAAGCAATGATAATAGAAAATAATAAAAAAATCTAATTAGCAATTAATTGTTTATAGGCATCTATATAAATTAAAAAATATATATTTTAAAATTTTTAATTTAATTGATTTATATAAGAGATATTATTTTACTGTGAATAATGGTCAACATTCATCACTGAAATGATTATTCTACGCAAAGACTTTGCTTTATTAAAAAAAACAAATTGTTTCAAGAAAAATTTTATCCAATACATTATTTTATCAAATTAAAGAAAACATTAATTATTTATTTTTTAAGTTAAGGGGTCAAAAAATTCTTGAATAAAAATTTATTAATTATTAAAGTTTTTATTATTTTATTACAATTAATTAAATTATCGAATATTTATTTTTATCAATTAAATTTTTATTAGATAAAAATTAACTAATCATCAATATTAATTTTTATTTAGTCAAAAATTTAATGAGATGAAAATAAATATTTGAAGATTCAAGAATTTAATTGGGATGAAAATAAATATTCAAAGAGTTAATTATATAAAAATAAATATTTAAAGATTGAATTGATATGAAATAAAAAATTTAAGATTTGATTGATTATAATAAAATATTAATTATTTAATAGTTATTGAATTTTTGTTAAAATATTTTTTTTTGCCGTTTTTGTCTATTTTAATTAAGATTAACCTTTTTCATTAAAAAAGGGCCCACGTTGATAAGGATGATGAAATTAAGCAAGCACACGACAAAGTCGGTTGACTCTTGGATTTGGCTGGGTTGTCTCAATATATTATCCTTCCTATCTTCCAGTTTTCCCTCATTTTCTCATTTCTTCACTCCATCTCTCCTCTCTATTTTCTAGGAAAACACAAAAGGAAAAAACCCCAATCCCCACTCCTTCAGTCCTTTCTTTTTCTCTTCCTATGCAAACATATCATATGTTTGGATAACTAGAACATTAGTAATTTATATAGGGAGAAACTAAAGTCATTTACAAAGGGTTTAGCCTTGGTATAGCAAGAAAATGGAAGGAGGAATACACACAGGCACTGATTCCTCTGCTTTCAGGGAATGTTTCTCTCTGACATGGAGAAATCCTTATGTTCTTCGCCTTGCTTTCTCTGCTGGAATTGGTGGCCTTCTCTTTGGCTACGACACTGGTCGATTTTCTTCTATATCTTAATCTGTCTTGAGTTTTTTTTTTTTTTTTCTTTTTAAATTTTGGTTCTCAAACAATTTTTCATGGTATTGCAGGTGTGATATCAGGTGCTCTCCTTTATATAAGAGATGATTTCCCATCTGTGGATAGAAAGACTGTTTTACAGGTGACATAATATATGCTTTACATTTTTGCTTCTACTTTTATGTTATGAAATAATCCTGCCATGTGTTGGTGTAAATCTTTCCAGGTTCTTACCTAAAGTTCTTGGTGAATCCGTCCAATTTTGGATAATGGTTGTCCCTCTGTCTTTATTTATCCAACGTATCTAGACCAGTCCCCGCTCTGTTCTCTTCACTTCTCTCGTGACCCTGTTGAATTTTGTTCAACTAAAATTTATGACTTTTCCTGCTCCCTGAAATGGCTGAAATAACCTTTGGTTAAGCAAATTCGTTTATCGAAAATTGCTGGTAAATTGGGAAACTTGCACTTGTATTTGTTTGCTTAACCTCTGTGAAACTCTCTAGCAAACGTACAAGTCTTTGGGGCCTTTGGTGTAAAGTCTTTATCCCAAGCTTGTTTCTTCTGATCTCAGAAAACTGCTTGTTGTCAAAGTTTTCTTGGATTTTATCAGAAATCTGATTTTTAGTCAAATTTCTTTTCAAATCAACGACTCTTGAACGTTTTAACAAATTTCTATAAGAGTAAATTTATTTTTTTTTGAAGAAGATTGGCCATAACTTTTTCTGTGATTTTTTTTTTTTTTTGGATTTGGGGAAGGGAGATTGGCTCGTCTTTGAGAAGGGAAATTATGCATCAATCAATTGAACCAAGTAAAATCTAATTTCTAAAGAATTGAAAGAGAAAAAATACTGGATTAAGTATCGAAAAAGTTAAACTTTTATAAAATTAAAAATAGAAATGACTTGGCTATTTGAGATTGGGCTTTGCTCAATACAAAGTTGGGCGAAGACTTGAGAATTTTCTGCTGACCCAGACACCTCTGATATCACCTGTTACCAACAGAAGACTTGTTATGTTTTCTCGATTTATCATACATAATTCAGAAATTCACTTTTTTTTTTCTTCCTTTTCACAAGATAAAATTTTAAAATGCTATTTCCGAATTGTAAAACTTGAAATTGAAACAGTTCATTGTGTGGGATTTTTGTTCAAACCCTGAGGCAACTTAGCAAAAACATGTGAAGTAACAAATTCTGGGTCCTCCTTCATATAGCAAATAATTTACCAGTCCCTAAGCCGCTATAACCATTCTGATGCATGGTCAATTTGTCGATATACATGTAAACAGGAGAGCATAGTGAGCATGGCAGTTGCTGGAGCCATCATTGGAGCTGCAATTGGTGGGTGGATGAATGATCGATATGGAAGGAGAAGTGCAATCCTAATAGCTGATTTCCTGTTTTTTATTGGAGCTGTGGTGATGGCCTCAGCTCCTGGCGCTGCGCTTCTTATTGTTGGCCGAGTTTTTGTGGGACTTGGCGTTGGAATGGCATCAATGACATCTCCTCTTTATATTTCAGAAGCTTCCCCTGCCAAAATCCGTGGTGCCCTCGTTAGCACCAATGGATTTCTTATTACTGGTGGCCAGTTCCTCTCTTACCTTATCAACTTGGCTTTTACAAAGGTAAGCTAGCAAAACATGTCAAAAAATTATGACGAATGAAAAACCAATCTGAATAGATGTTCTTTTTCAGGCACCAGGGACATGGAGGTGGATGCTTGGAGTTGCAGGAATTCCAGCACTTTTGCAGTTCATTTTAATGTTGCTGCTTCCAGAATCACCTCGTTGGCTATTCCGCAAGGTTCCTGATCATATTCCAAAAAACTAGAACTGTTATGTTCATGTATTTGGTCTTCAAGCTTCAATGAACTCATTCTTTGTCTTCTTAAAAACAGGGAAGAGAAGAAGAAGCCAAAGTCATTTTGAGGAAAATTTTCCCAGCTGATGAAGTTGAACAAGAAATTCAAGATTTAAAAGATTCTGTTGAGGCAGAAATTAGGGAAGAAGGATCTTCTGAAAAAATTAACCTCATTAAACTGTTGAAAACCAAAACAGTTAGGAGAGGGCTCACAGCTGGTGTTGGACTCCAAGTTTTCCAACAATTTGTTGGCATAAACACAGTCATGTATTACAGTCCTACCATAGTTCAGTTAGCTGGTTTTGCCTCTAACCGAACAGCACTCCTCCTTTCCCTTGTCACGGCTGGCCTCAATGCCTTTGGCTCCATTGTGAGCATATACTTCATTGACAGGACAGGGAGGAAGAAGCTGCTAATAATTAGTTTGGTTGGAGTGGCAATTTCACTTGGTCTTCTGTCAGGAGTTTTCCATGAGACCGAAACCCACTCTCCAATGGTTAGCCGAGTTGAAACATCTCACTTTTCAAATTATACATGTCCTGACTATAGTTCGGCTGCAAATGCTGGTGCTTGGGATTGCATGAAGTGTTTGAAGGCTTCATCTCCAGATTGTGGATTCTGTGCTTCACCAACAGATAAGGTAAAACACATGTTTCCTTCCATTAATGCAATAATTTTTTTCTAAATAACAGAAGCCATGTAACAAAAGAAAAACAGACAAAAGTTTGGATAAAGTCGTATATCTTCCCTTCATTAATTTGTTTATGTTCTCGCAGCTTCTGCCAGGAGCATGTCTGATCTCAAATGACACAGTAAAGGATCGCTGCCATGACGAAAGTAGGCTATGGTACACAAGGGGATGTCCAAGCAAATATGGATGGCTTGCGCTGATTGGTCTTGCTCTCTACATCATATTCTTCTCCCCTGGAATGGGAACTGCCCCATGGATAGTCAACTCTGAGATTTATCCACTCAGGTTCAGAGGAGTATGTGGTGGAATTGCTGCAACTGCTAACTGGATCTCAAATCTCTTTGTGGCCCAGTCCTTTTTATCACTTACAGAAGCAATAGGCACTTCTTGGACATTCCTAATATTTGGAGTAATTTCTGTGGTGGCTTTAGTCTTTGTAATTATCTATGTGCCTGAAACAAAGGGGCTGCCTATTGAAGAGATTGAGAAGATGTTGGAGGCTAGAACTTCGCACTTCAAGTTCTGGGATAAAAGTTACAAACCACAAGAAAAGAGCCAAGCTATGTGAACAAATGGAAGACTGCTGAAATTAGGACACTGAACCCTGAAACATTGGACATTGCATTCAGCAATATTGGAATTAATTAGATAATGAAAGCTGCTTTATTCTTCTCTCTCTTTTTTTCTTTTTTATTTTTCTCTATAGGAAACAAAGCAGCAATTAATTTCGGTATTTTGCAATCACCATGCATGTTCTATAGTAATATTGTCACAATTTTCACCAGTAATGAAATAAAACTAATTATAAAAAAACTATAGAAGTGCTTCAACGTTATGTAAAAAATGTTAAATGTTACCAAGAACTTTTCTTGACAAAATAGTTTCTTTCTTTTTCTCCGTAAATCTCTTCTGATTAAAAAATAAAAACAAGGATCTCTTCTGAAACCTAGCTGCATCGTGAAAATATTTGATGGAGCTTCCTGAAAATTGATGATTTTGAGCTTTATGTATCCCCTGACCGAAAAATTACTTTATTTTTATATTCCTACAAAGCTAAAGTGGAAACAACAAAACAAATAAACGGGTAGAGAGTGGTTTAACTAGATTCCTGATTATTCAACGAGATGGAAACATGAAAGAACAGTATATTTTATCTTGCCTCTTTCTTTCTTTCTTTCTCATTTTTTTTTTTTTTTCATTTCTCTTTTTATACAACATGAAAACATCTAAACGCTTGGATAGCAAACGACTCAATGTTACAGACAATGAATGATGGATCCATGCCTCAGGCAATGTGCTTTGCCAAAGTAAGGATCTTGACATCCTTTTTGTCATGATCAAGCCCTGGTATGCCTCGATGCTACCATGATTGATACTAAGCTGAGTAGCGAACAAAACCTTGTGACCGAGATAGTGATCCTAGAGCAGTGCGTGAGCATTTTAAGTGTGAGAAAATATTGCTGATAATGTTTGCGGGTGATGTGAGCCCTAAGCCCTAAGATGAACGAGCAAAGTGCGAGCCAGTGAACTAGTGCCCTGGTGCCATATAACCAGTTGGGTGCTATTGGTTGAACCTTTAAGCAGGTATCATCGAGTGAGTTGGTGGAGCAATGAGCAAAATGGAGAATTATGGTGACCAAGAGGAAGGTCATTGGCTTTGAATTGGTTTAAAAAAATCCCTAAAATGGCTAGGAAAAAAATATCCCCATTTCATACAGTTTTACAGTTTTTGGTAAGATAATTGGGAAAGCTTTTACGATCTTTATAAAGGAACGACTGGTGTCAGCTCTCCACCACACCATTGGCTAACGGGCAGGTGAAGGCTTAGCTAGTCTAAAGTGAGCTACTCTTAGGCACATGCGGTGTCTAGGTGGGCACGCATCATTAGGTCATGAATTTGACACAGTATCTCTTCGAGTCATGATAAACTTAGGGATGATTGGGGCCAATGGACCTCATATTGCACTGTTGTGTTAAATCGTGGGGTTAGACACTAGCGTTTGCTATGCCCCTCAGCTTCCTCTCATTAAGCCAATTTGATAAATATCTAAAGATCATGAAATGGTGTTTGCGTAGGATGGACACCATCTAGCCTGAGGGATAAGTAGGTTAGTAGGCAGACACATTATTGGATCCTTATGGCTAATCGATAAAAATGTACTACAGTTGGGATAGCACACCCAAGTCCCTTAAGGTGGGACAGACATGATGGAAGGTATCCATCATACGTGTAGGCAATTTAGAATGAGGATAAGGGCTGAGGGCCTAAGATATGAAATTCGTGGGACAAGATGAGCCTAGTGTGGCTTCAAGCTAGCTGCTAACTAACATCTGTGTTATGCCTTTAGGTTCAAGGCATGAGAGCTTACGTACGATATGAATGGTATGGCGTTGGGTTTTCACTATGCCAGAATGAGATAATATTATGAGCACCAGGACTGTGCGTCTTTATGTGCTAGGCAAATCAATGCTCATGACCTTGATGCCTATAGGCAAAGATGGGTAATTGGGGCCACCTTGAGAATCATGGGTTGATTGTGATTATGAGAGTTGAGTTCTTTCCTATCGAGTTTAAGAATGTTACATGTAACCTTATGAGGTTTGAGCTAAAAAAGGCTCATGAGTATGCCAGCTTGAAAGATCGATATCGAGTTGTCCATGAAAAAATGAACTGACAAAAGACTGACATTGACTATGAGTAGTCTTGGTGTCGTATGGACGCATAATTTTGGTTTAAGGAACGCATGGCTTGTGACATTATGATATCAGAGCCTAGTTTGACTTAAGTGGTGGGATTAAAGCGACTCGTGTAGGCATGATAATGAGAAATTGGGGCGATGCTAAGCTCGAAGAGAGCTATTGGGGTGAGATTGCGATATCGTGGAAATGTGAACTCGGGAATGAGCCATCAAAGTGATACATAAGAAAAAATGGCCTAGGTGAAAAGCCCTCAAGTAAGCTCTTGGATGCCAAATGAAAAGGCACGAAAGTCTAACCTCACCTAGCAAAAGGTGTTGGCTTGTGCGAGGCATGCAATGCCTTTTAAACAAAAAAATTGTGTTTATATTGAAATGCAAAAAAGGGCTACACCTTGAAATGGTGTTTGAGTAAGGCCATGTGGGCCGAATAAGTTTTGTCTTGAAGGACATGAGTTATGCGTATTGAGATCAATTACTAACGTATGCACTTGTTGTGTAGCGCATGTGCCTTAATGGGGTTATGAGCCAAGTATTTGGATCTTAAGCATGAGGCCATTCTACAGAGACAAAGGAGTTTGAGTTGGCTAACAATTGAAGCCTTGTGTTTGTAACGATTAGTAGATCATGAGTTCTTATAGTCAGAAGATCACGAAAATGTGCTGGTCAGTAAACCGTGCTTTGTGTTAGTCGAAAGAGAAGACCTTATGAGATGTGATGGTCAGCGAACCACGACAATGTGCAATTTAGTTAAATGAGTAAGCAAGAGTTAGCCAGTTGACAAGGTCTTAAGTTGTATGGGTCAGAGGACCGATTGAGTAAAGCAAAGCCTTGAATTGACATTCGACTTTGCTTTTGGTCAATGGATTGGACAGGTTTAAACAAGGTAGAGAAAATCGATTGAATTAAGCCAAATTGAAGTATTTGAGTAGATGCAACCAACAGAATGGCCATGAGTTCAAGTAGATCAATAGACCTTGAATACCAAGTGGGTAGGTGAACCTTAAGATTTGAGCCGGTCAGGGGACTTTGTGTTTAGAGTTGGATTAGTGGACCCTCGAGCATTTTGTGGGCTTTGAGTTGCCTTTTGAGATATGCCAAAGTCAAGGTAGACGAGTTGTATAACCACTTAAAGACATGGTTACATGTAGAGTCGGGCTGAGTTTAAGTAAAAGTATGAGAGACTTGTGATTCCTTATAGAATTAAGCCAAGGCAATAGAGCCTGAGTTTATTGAGCACTGTGTTTAAGTTTGAAATTAAGTTCGAGATAGCATACATTAAGAAGCCGCTACGATAGTGGTTGGTTAAAAGGTCACAATTAGAGAGGTAACCTCAGAAGGGCTAACAAGACCTAAGTTATGATATGGCCAAAGTATTTGAATACCACTATGTTAAGGTCTATTGTGGGTGGTGCCACATTAATATGGTTGACCTAAGCACCACGTCTAGAGGATCGTATTGAAAAGTTGATGTCACAAGCATACAATTGATGTGGTGGGTCGAGTCCAACGAGGTGTAACAATGTGTGGCAAAATAGGTGGGTCATGATCAATAAGGGTGCCTCGAGATCGCAACATGATGTGATCATAGGTGAAGCAATGCAATGGCACTTATCGATCAACAGTTTGAGTCTAGTGATCATATATGAAGATAGCACAGAAGTGCAATAGCGCTAAGATGATCCCTTTACATCAACAATGGATGAGTATTGTGGGCGGTGCCTTATGTGATGGGATCTCGACCCAATCCTTGAAGGCACAAATGAGAGGCATATGGAAAAATGCCAACTGTGTACAATAAGAGAGTTAGATGTGATCTTGGCATTGATGAAAGCATTGATATAGTGAGGTAGAATGTCATGATCAGGCCTTGATGTGCCTTGATCTTACTATAAAGTAATGAACGAGCATTTTAAGCATGAGAAAATGTTATTGATAATGTGTGCAGGTGGAGTGAACCTTATGCCCCAAACGCACAGACAAAATGCAAGCCAATGGGAAGGTGCCCTGGAGCCATGTAACCAGTGGGGTGTTGTTAGTCGAAGCCCTGCGTAGGCACTGTCGAGTGGGTTGGTGAAGCAACGAGCAAAATGTGAAAATTATGGTGACCAAGAGGAAGGTCATTGGGCCTTGAGTTTGCTGAAGAAAGGCCTTGAGATAGCTGAAGAGAAAAGTGCCCCATTTCAGATAGTCTTACGGTTCTTGGTAAGATGATTAGGAAAGCTTTTATGCTCTTTATAGAGGGACAACTTGTGTCAGCTTTTCACCATTCCCTTAGCTAACGGACAGGCAAGAGTCTGACTAATCTGAAATGAGCTACTCTTAGGAACATATGGTGTCTAGATGGGAGGCATTGTCAGGTTATAAGTGTGGCATGATGTCCTATCAAGTCATGGTAATCCCGGGGATGGTCGAGGCTAACAGGTCTCGTATCGTGCCGTTATGTTAAACTGTAGGGTTAGATGCTAATGTTCACTATGCCCCTCGATTTTCCCTCTTTGAGCCAATTTGATAAATAACTAAAGATCATGAAATGGTGTTTACATAGAAGGGGCACCATTGAGCCTGAAAGATAATGGGGCTAACAAGCATGCACGCTGTTAGACCTTTGTGGCCAATCTCTAAAGGTGTGCTGCAGCTGGGGTAGCACACTCGAGTCCCTTAGGCTGGGACAGACATGATGTAAGGTATCCATCATGCGTGCAGGTAGCCTAGAATAAGGCTAAGTGCTGAGGCCCTAAGATATGAGTTTCGTGAGATGAGATGAACCTAATATGGCTCCGAGTTGACTGCTAACCAGCATTTGTGTTGTCCTTTCAGATTCAAGGCATGAGAGTTTGCGTACAATGCGAGTGGGCATGATGTTGGGTTCTAACCATGCCAAAATGTGATAATATCATAAGAACCGAGATTGTGCGCCCTTATGTGCTAGGCAAGTTGGTGCTCGGGACCTTGATGCCTACGGGCAAAGATGGATGCTCGGGGCCATCCTGAGAATCGTGGGTTAATTGTGATGATGGAAGTTGGGTTTCTCCTTACTGAGTTTGAAAATGTTGCATGCGACCCTACAAGGTTCGAGTTAGGACAAGCTCGTGAGTATGCCAACTTAAAGGATCG